TCCTAAAGTCATAACGATATTTTAAAAGGTTATATGGCATTCCTGGGTAACGAGGCCAGTTAAGATGACATTGATCCCAGGCAGAATCATAGGCTGATATGGGACAATCAGTAAAGAAATAAAGGGTAGTAGCATAAATAATGCTAATCAACATGGTTTATGGAAAAGAGGTCTTGTTGGATAAACTTAGTATTTATTGATGTGATCACAAATGTGATTGATAATGTACTCTCCCTTCTTTGACTTAGTTCCATGTGGTATTCTGTATTTTTTTTTTTTTAAAGAAAAAGAAGCACCATTCAAAATTAATGAAGCCCATATTCAATAGATTGAAAATTGGTTAACTGATTGTAAACTAAATGGGGAATTGTCATCTCAGGGATATGGTGTTTCTAGTGGAGTCCTGCAATGATCTGTTTTGAATCATTACTAATTAGTATCTTTATCGATGATCTAGAAAAAAGGATAAAATCATTACTGGTAAAATTTGTAGGTGACACAAAAATTGGAGTGAAAAATGAGATAGAAACAGATCAGTTATATGGACTGACCTGGATCACTTGGAAAGGTGGGCCCATTTGAACATTTGTTTTAATACAGCCCAATGCAAGGTTATAAATCTAAGAACATAGGTCTTACAGGATGGGAGACTATTCTGGAATGTAGCTACACTGAAAAGAACTTAGTGGTCATGGTAGATGACAGTTGAATGAGTTCCCAGTGTGATACTGTAGCTAAGAGGATGAACATGATCCTTGAAGGCTTAATGAGGGAAAGAGAGATGTGATATATAACCTCTGTACATAGTATTAGTGAGACTTGGTGGAATACTATGTCCAATTCTGGAGTCCACGCTTGAAAAAGGATATTGAAAAATTGGGAGGGTTCAGAAGAAAGCTACAAGGAAGATTTGAGAGCTCAAAACATGCCTTAAATAATAATAATATATGGAGATATACCTATCTCCTAGAACTGGAAGGGACCCTGAAAGGTCATCGAGTCCAGCCCCCTGCCTTCACTAGCAGGACCAAGTACTGATTTTGCCCCAGATCCCTAAGTGGCCCCCTCAAGGATTGAACTCACAACGCTGGGTTTAGCAGGCCACTTCTCAAACCACTGAGCTATCCCCCCCCCCCCCATGAGGCTTAATAAGGTCAGCCTTTTTAATTTATTGAAGGTTATGAAGTGACATGAACACAGTCTATAAATACCTATATGAGAAGAGATCCAGCAGTAGGGGAAGCCCTTTAATCTAGCAGAAACAGGAATGATGAGATCCAATGATTGGACTCTGAAGCTAGATAAATTCAAACTAAAAATAAGAAGCAAATTTTTAACTTCGAGGCTAATTATTTTGTAACAATTCACCTAGGGAATGCGATGGATAAATATCTTAACGTATTCTGTAGCTCAAACAGAAGATACAGGTTTGATGCAGAAGCTATTGGTAGAAGTTCTTTGGGCCTATCTTATGTAGGAGGTCAGACAAGTTTATCATAATGCTCCCTGTTGGCCTCAAAATCTGTGAAAGCAGATGTTGTTGCAACAATTAAACTGGCTAAAATGTAAAACTGGTGAGTGTATGTATTTGTCCTGTGACTCTATGGTCTCAATTAATGGTAAGGCTTATCTTGTTGAGGGAATAATGATCCTAGGAGAATGTTAACACTGGGAGAAATAAATATAGACAACACACATGCACAAATTGAAACTTAGAAAAAACAAACAACAAAAAACTTGTTACTGGCATGAGTAATTTGAGTTTAGTTCTTTTTGCTGCTTCTTAAAGTTCTAGTTTGAATAAGATGAAAAGGACTAACATTTTCCATGGCATAGTTTACCCTAGAAGATTAAGTATTATGCATATTCCTGCTACTGCATGATACACTTTGTAGTCTTCATGCGTATGCTGAATTTTGTCAGTCCTTTGTGATAATTGTTCACAATTCAAAATGAATTTTTACACTCTGCAAGTTCCTAAGACAGCAATATGTGCTAATACTTAATTTTGTTTTAAATAACAATATGCAACCCAGTTTTACTGATTTGACATATCCCATTATCTTCCCAGTATGGACCGGATTCAGCTGAGGTGATGTCCTTGAGGTTGGCAGTAAACTTGCTTTATACAAAGTGAATATTTTATTTTTATAAAGGCCCAATTAAAACATTTTGGATGATAATTTTAATCTAAAATGTAACTTCCTATATTGTAAGATTAATGTTAGTTCTGAACTGAGACATCTTTTCCCCAATCTGGGCCATGTCTCTTCCTGCAAATACTGGCAGTAATTTAGACTTGTTCATGGGGCTCTGGGTTTTGGTCAAACTCCTTCTGTCTTTGGGTCAAATTCTCTGAGTTCAGGAGCACACAGTGGAGAATCAACACTCCTGCCTTATCCATTAGCATTACAGGTTTTAAAGCTTATTTTGGGACCACAGTGAGCAAAATCTTCTCTTCTCAGTGGTTGGATTTCCAAGCCTCTGTCCCTCAATTGAGACCACCCACTGAGTGCCTCTTGTTTGTTCTGTCCTTCCTCATTATGGCAGAAAAGACCAAACAGAAGCTCAAAGGTAACTACTGACATTTCTTGTTCTGATGAAATTCATGTTACTAATGATTCTAAACTTTCCTTGCAGCTAGAGCGAGTAAATCTATCTGCAGCTCAGACCCTGAGAGCAGCTTTTATTAAGGTGAGAAACTAATAAAGAATGATTAAAAGTGGTGTGTGTCACTCAAAAACACTATAAATAAATGTTTGAAACACAGTTTAAAAGCAATGTGTTTTCAGCTTTATTGCTCTATTTTCCCTTTGTGCCATCTTGTTTTAGAAGCAGTATTTGGTAAGAATCAAGTGGCCTACAAGGAGAGTACCCAGCTTCCACTTCTTTGGAAAGGCTAATGGATTGGGCTGTCTCAAACTTGTATGATTGGTTTTAAAAGTTTGTGTTATTCTGTACTGGACTCATGGGGGAGATGGAGTTATTTTGTGTAATTGCTAAATGTACTGATATTAAGCACTTTTGATAGTAAAAACCTTAGAAGATGCTTGTAAAAATCATCATTAGTATAGACTTACTGTCAACTGCTACTTCACATTAAATGAACAGTAGGAGATGGGTGGATTGTAGGTTCTGAACACTCTGCTCATTGCCTAAGACAGACAAACTCTGTCTCCAGTAAATCATTTCAGTGGAAATTCTGCAAGGAGCCTCTTGAGTTTTCCTTCTTCTCTGTATGTAGTTCTCTTCTCTCCCCAACCCCCACAAATGACAGGAGGTAAACTGGCTCTAGGCTAGTTAATTTTACTGCTTTTATAGATTATACAGATGAAATCTTGCCTGGGATAAGGAGGAAAAACAATGTTGAAACTTAAAACAAATTCCTTGTGTGGTAGGCCTGAGATTCTGTGCTGTGCCTCTGAGGGTATGTCTGCACTGCACACTAAGCGTGGGCTCTGACTTAAGCCCCACTTCTGCCCACACCCAAATCAGTCTGACTTGGGTCAGCAAGCACTCAGGACCGGAGTCCTAGAAACCTGCTAGGGCAGGGGTGGGCAAACTTTTTGGCCTGAGGGCCACATCTGGGTATGGAAATTGCATGGTGGGCCATGAATGCTCACAAAATTGGGGCTGAGGGCTCTGGCTGGGTGTGCGGGCTCTGAGGTGGGGCCAGGGATGAGGGGTTTGGGGTACAGGAGGGGACTAGGGATGGAGCAGAGAAGTTTGGAGTATGGGAGGGGGCTCTGGGCTGAGGCAGGGGTTTGTGGTGTGGGAGGGGGCACGAGTTCCAGGATGGAGCCAGAAATGCAGGAAGTTCATTACCTTCTTGAAATTCCAACTCTGCGGTTGGGCTTGGTCTTAAATGCATTAATCAAACTATTAATACACGAGCATAATTTAAATTTGATAGAATCAGGGGCACATTTCCTTAGCTAGCTTCTGCAAACTAGGTGTTAGATCCTTCTGAACATAGATTAAGATTCTGTTTCTGGTGTCATCATATTGTGCTGAAATATAAGAGGAACTGTTGGTGAGTCACATCACTTGCATCTCAAGCACCTGGTGCCTACGTAGATTATAAATAGTACTTGATTTCTGCTCTAAAACACTGATATCTAGTGGCCTAAAGACCAATTTTCATCAATGAGACAACTTTTATTGCAGTACAGTTTTCATTGTTGCCTTGGTTTGACTTCATTGAAGTTAAGCTGCTCTCTCACTGGGGCTGTAGATGTATTTTGGAATGACATTCTGGAATTTCCTGATTAAACAAGTATGTATATGGAGAGGGGAAAATTGCAGTGATTATAGTGGAGGCATTAAACTACAAACACTTCTGGGCAGGGCCTTTCTGTCTTTTCTGTAAATAACTATATATGTTATGTAGTGCTAAATAAAACCATAGCAATAAGCAGTCAAATCGATTTGTGTGCGGACAGAAGAGGGTCTTGAGACACAGCCTGGGCTTAGTGTGCAGTGTAGACATACCCTTAGAGGCACAGCACATTGTTACAATACCATTGCTATTGCTTGTTAGCAGCAAATATATCATGAAAGTATTATCTCAAAAAATACAACTGAATAGTGAGATACTTCACTTGATATAGGGCTTAGAATGTGCTCTGCTTTACAGAATTCTGTTGGCGGTCCCTTGTAATTGGCAATCATTTAAAAAATATACAGTGGAAGTAATAGCATTTGATAAGTCTCTATTTATACCGACTATCCTGAGAAATACTAATTCATATTCTCTAAAGAGTCCATTCTGTGAGGATTTTCACTTCAGAGTCTTAGCTCTTTAATGTGAGACTGGTAGTTCACTAGCTTTTAAAGTTCTCTGATCCTGTGGGTAGCAGTAACAAGGTAGAGCATGAACTAGGTACTCTATGGAGTATAAAAGCTGCCCTCCAAATGTTCCAATCAGTTTCTTCTTGACCATGGTTGGAGAAGGAGCTCCTTACAGGACACTGGCCTTGAGCTGGTCATTTTTCCACCTTTTCATGGGATCCCAACAATGTCTTATTGGCTGTCCACCTGCAGTAACCCTGACTTTCAGCCAGGTCTGATATGGTGGTTGTATTTTTGAAGCCTTTTCATCAGGTGTTTTGATACCTTTTTTAAAAAAAAATTCTTGGTGCCAGGAGTCACTGGCATTTTTTTGGTGTTCTAACATGCATTTTTTTCTTTTGGTCAGAGCCTCAGCACTACTTCAGCATTCTCTACTAAATGTACAATGCTCCAGTGTCAGCATTGTTCTCTGTTTATCAGCACTTGAGTCTAGATGCTCTGGCATCAGATTTGTTAGGCATCTCAACGCCTTGTTCTATACCTGTTTCAGCACTTGTTCTATATATGTTGGTTCAGTGCTTTCCTCAATGCCCTTAAAGGCACAATGTACTGGTGCTTCTTTTTTCTTTATTTTAAGTAAGGCCTCTGAGAAAGGAAGATGGATCATGGGTTCCAACCTTGTTAGTGCACGACAGACCAGTGTCAAAAAGCTAGTGACCATGTCTGTTTGCTCTGACTTCCTCTGAGTCAGCCCTGATGTACAGAAAGCCCACATATGTCTGTAGATGTCACGTAAAACACTAAAGAAATAAGGGGAGTACCTTCAGGCTCTCTTTGAGGCATTCCCTAGGAGACTCTTTGAGTCCAGTACTGAGGTTGGTCCAGAATGCTTTGAAGAGTAAAATCCTCAAAGCTAAAGCCCATCAGCCAAGTCTATTGAGTACTGAGATTCAGTGCCAGCATTGCCAATGTTGATGCAGATTTGGCTTCATCTTGTAAACCTATTAGGGTAGCTTTAATACCAAAGTGCTCTGTCTCCTCACCAGCAAACCTGAGGATTACAACTGCACGCAAGGGTCCCAAAAAACAAAAACAAAACAAAACCATTAAGATGTAACCATGAAAATCTTGCAAGATGATGGATTCAGAGAAACAGTATTACAACGAAATAATCTTTTTTCCCCTCTGTGTTCCAGTCTAAAAGCTTTCCAGGTATTTTTTCTTGAGTTCTAATTAAATCCAAGCTGGTATATGAGTACAAAGCTATGAACTCTGATACTGGAATGGAGTTTTGGATAAGAAGTTTTCACTTACTATCAGTGCAGTATAGTGCAACATGCTGTTGTGAGACTCAAACATGACATGACTGGAATAAAATCAGACAGTAGAGATATACTGTCCATGTAATTCAAAAATTAAGAGGAGGAAGTAATCAGTGAAGGTGGATGGAATAATTTGGTAGATGGATGGAAAAAATTAAATCCAAATGTATGACAGGAAAACATTGACAGTTGACTTGTATAATAAGAAAATAGTACATATCTAGGCTGCTGGTGAGAGAACTGAGTTCAAAATAAAACTGATAATTTAACAGTATATAGAGACCTTTTATTGATTACATGGATAAAAATAGAATTAATATTTTATGCTTACAACAACAATTTAGTGTAAAAACATCTCTAATTTTTTGTTTCACCTTTTTAGGGGGTTCTGCTTTGTGTTTACTTTGTTTCTTAGGACTATGTTCTTGTAAGATGTTTGAATATTATGTGGTAATGATTTTGAAAATATTTTAAACAAAAGATTTATTTTGGATTTATATTTAAGACATGTGGGAGAGTGAAATATAGTGTTCGACCCAAGGGGTAATAACGTTTTTGTGTTTAGTGCAACTAAATGAATATTTACATTTAAGGATTATTGAATTTAAATAACAAAATCTTTTTATAAAGGGAATATATTGTAATAGTAGGTGGTAGGGACTAAAGTAAACATGAGTAGTGGAAAATAATTAAAATACAAGAAGGAGCAATAGCCATGTATGAAGCCAGTTATTGGATTATGCAGATCTGTTGTAACACCTGCAAAGAGTGTCATCTTCTGTTACTGACACTCCATTAGAAGAAACACTGAAGCATTTGAAAAGCTATGAAAAAGTAATACTGGTGATATGTGAGAGTTATGAGGACAAATTGAAAATCACAATATCTGTATAATCTGAAAAAAATATAGTTGAGAGGAATTAAGTAGAAATATATAAAATGTCTTCTCGCCTGCTATGTCAATATAATTTTAATGTTTTCAATTTTTATTCAGAGGGTAAAACCAGGTAAAGGGGGAGTGTGAGATACCCATAAATACTTTTCATGGAAATGGGTGAAACGACTTATTGGGGAAAAATTGCTGATGCAAAAACTCTTCAGTAGTTCAAGAAACATTGATGCGATCGTGGAAGAATACTTTACAAAGTGGTCTGCTGTTATGAGTCTATTCAACTTCTCTAGTCCCTAATAATTTGATCTTGTATGTACAATCTGTTGTCCCATTGAAATCTAGCTTTATGCTTTAAAATGTCACTCAAGTCCTAAATATTTCTTAATCAAAATGTTCTTTATAATATAGGCTGAAAAAGAAAATCCAGGTCTCACACAAGACATCATTATGAAAATTCTGGAGAAAAAAAGCGTAGAAGTGAACTTTACGGAGTCTCTTCTGCGTATGGCCGCAGATGATGTAGAAGGTATTTATCGTCTCTGGGAATGGGAGGTGGGAATTGCATTTAAACCCATGTTCTCTGATATTGATGGGTATAAGCCTACCTTTTGATGCTGTTTTTCAGAGACAAATGTTACATTAAATCTGAAAATTAGCATAGAAAATCTGTCAGTTTTATTTTTCGGGACAGATTTCATTTTAGTGAGCGTTTTTTTTACAAATCCTGTTTCAATATAGTAAAAACCCTATTATAATGAGCACTTATGGTGGCATGAGTATTTTATTGGACATAGTAATTTAACTTTCATATTTATTATACTCTGTAATTCTAAAAGCATAATTTACCTCTGCAGTGAAAAGGATAAATTATTAGAATGTACAGTGCATGTTATTCACTCAGTATAGCATGAAATCTGTCTTTTCTACAAGTTAGGAGGCAAAATGTTCTTTCTAATATGGTGGGGGGTTTTCCCCATAGAACCAGGAATTCACTGTAAGAGGGTTTCACTCCGTTTGGTAAACTTTTTTCATACTGTATTAGATTAGCACAATGCAGTCAATTCCGTTCAGTGGATGTTCCCTGCATTATGTTTTTTGTAAATTACATTAAAATAATGAATTTTCTGGATTTTTTGAATTGAGTGGATAAAATCAAGTAAAGGCATTTATAACAAACAGACTGTGCTTCTATCAGTATAGAAATCCATTGCACATGCATAATGCTGGTCTATGTACCTCTTTTAAAATAGAACTTTGAAGTACTGATGGAACTTTATGAATAGCAATATCCACAGTGTCACTAGAAATATACTTGAGGGTTAAGTAATAATTTCTTGTTCGTTTTTTTTTTTTTTGGCCTATCAGAGTATATGATTGAAAGGCCAGAGCCAGAATTCCAAGACCTAAATGAAAAGGCACGAGCACTTAAACAGATTCTCAGTAAGATTCCCGATGAGATCAACGATAGAGTGAGATTTCTTCAGACAATCAAGTAAGTGCTGCATTCTGTATTTATCTGCAGATCAAGCTAGAAGCCTTGACTTGGATATTAAGATATTATTATATGTGTTTTAGTGATGTGATATGGTACTTTCAGTGCTTCTTGAGCTTTTGGCAGTACTGTGTTCCTCTGGAGGAATGGACCAGCCTGTTCAGAGAGCATGACTGGTGCCTGGCTCTATCTATTGCCAACTGGAAGCAGGAGTTGGGGAGCATACATTGCATCTCTTCGTAGCATGTGGAAGAAGTGCTGGTGCATTAAGATACTTTGTACTACTTTTGCTTGTGCTGCACTTGTTTTGTGGCTAAATAGGACTTTGGTTGTAGTTTGACTTTTCATGATCATGCTTGTACATTAAAAAATAGTTCTGTTGTAATGTGTGATAAATACCTTTACAATATTCCACTTACGCATAGAGACTGTGCGTCATAGAAGTAAAATATAAATCACAGTACTAATAAATATAGGACAGGATTGATTATGTAGGTAGTAAATAATTGCATGAGACTAACAGTGTTACTACCATGACATTGATTTGTTCTGTGGTCTTAGGCAAGTCACTCATCTGTTGTGTGGATAAGTTAGTTAATGTCCATGAAATATTATTATAATAATAATAATGCTATATGTGCTAACAGTTTGTTAACTTAGTACAAGATGCAGCTTATTTGAGAATGGTTGAATCTATAGTTACATGGTTTGCTTAATATGATGATATAATGCTATTTAATTTGTACACTTTATATTTCAATTACTTGCTTTTTGGGTTTTTTTAATGGGGATTTTGAATGCACAGATGGGGCAATGCTGGCTGGTGAGAGATTTTAGAGGGGTTTGTGTAATACATAATGTATAAATCTTACAACTGAATTTTATTGGTTTTGAGGCTTTCCATACATGTTGTAATATCATGTATCCAGGTAAATGTACTATTGTATCTAAATGTCAATAGTTTTATCTTCCCTGACACCAACACAACTTACTATAGTATATGTGTACGTAGTGGATACTGATGGATGAAGGGGTAAAATTTTCTTAATGCTGATTGGCTTATATATGCCCATGTTTGTACTGCTACTTTTAAGTCCTTTTGTACTGTACTGGCTGAAAACTCCTGGCTTTATAAACAGCATTGGCTTACTATATTGGTTAACCATTCTCAATTTCTATTTCCATTACATATGTGGGTTTCATTTGTTTTTCCCAAGTGCTTATCTTACAGTCTGGCAGTCTTCACTTTTCGAGCTTGACATTTCAATAAAAGGGTTGAGGCAGTGCCTTTGCTTTTTATAAAAGGGGGTGGGGGTGAAGGAAGACATGTTCGTGTCCCAAAAATACAGCAAGCTTGGGTTTGCTTGAAATTCACAAGCTAAGGGGAACAGTTATATAACTGAAAACGGCTAATGTTAAACATGAAACAAAAAGGGTCAGACAAAGATGTCATATCTATGCAAAAACTCAATCTTGATTAGTTGGGCTACTTTCAATGAACTCTGGATTCACTGTTCTGGACTGATACAGTGATACAAAGTGTCAGCGATTTCTCAAGCAGGAAATAGCCTGTAGCACTCTATCAGAAGAGTACCTAGATCTCTGCATTCTACTCAGTGACTAGGAAATGGGATTATAAACATCCTGAAATGCAATTTTTAATTTTGGTAAGATAGTAGTGAAATTGCATATAGAGTGTAATTTTAGGTATTTTATATAATGGTGTTTATAAAACAGTGCACACTATTTTAGAGTTTTGATATAAAGAAAATGGTACAACACAGTAACTACTCTCTTCTGACCACTCTTAGTACAATAAGAGAGATGCTAGCTGTTCTTGTTTCAAATTGATTTTAAATCCTGCAAAACTAGATACTGTTGTACACATTAGTCCTATGTGTGGGTTAGTGGCATCAAATTGCTTTCAAAGGGACTGGATGTAAACATTTTCTGCTTAGTTTAATTTTTTTTGGTGTGATTGGGATTCCTTGTAGCTTGCCCAAACTGTTTTGAGCCCCTTGGTATCCTAAGTATAAGGTACATAATGGATGATTTTTTTCCATATTTGGAACAAGCATTAAGGATCTAATTCTGCTATTAGATCCATACACGCAACTACCCCTTAAATTGCTAGGAGCTGTTTGTGCATACTGAAGACACAGTTTGATTATTACTGTTAAAACAAGTGAGTATATAGTATTGTTTAACATAGGTTTCCATATTATTGAGCAGATGCTAGCTTTCAGAGTATAAGGAGCACATTAAACTTAATTTGGATTTAAGTACTATATAATCTGATTAGTTCTTTGCATTTGATCTTGCTGCATCATATCTACATTATTTCTATAAAATACTTTAAAAATAAGTATCAAATATGATTTTTTCCTGGAAGTTATTAAAATTCAGCATTAAATTAGGCTAACTTAAAATGTTATGTGTGTTTTTTTGTTTGTTTGTTTGTTTTATCAAATAGGGACATCGCCAGTGCAATAAAAGAACTTCTTGACACAGTAAATAATGTCTTCAAGAAATATCAATACCAGAACCGGAGGGTATGTGAATTAAGATTTGCATGTAGTATTGTATTATTACTGCTACATATAAATATGAAAGATCTTTCGTTCTTATAGTGTAAGGGTCAGTGGTAGAATTTAGCTAGTCATTTAGTGAGTCAGAAGGAAGTGTACATGAAAAGAAAAGATAAAGCAGTGTAACCAATTCAAATCTGTCACTAAGGCCGTGTACTTTTTTTCTATTTATTTCTTCCAGTATGCATGGGTTTTTAATATGTATAGATGTGTCAGTGTTGTATAATTTTAAAAATATTATATTAAAGTATAATGTGTCATTTTCTGGAAATGTCTGACAAGAAACTTAAATTCCATTATCACTTACCTTTTCATTTCAAAATGTTTTGAATTCCTGGATCTGCATGGCTTTAATTCAATCTTTTTGTTTTTGCTCCCTAGTCCTTTGTAGCTTGTTACTGATTAGTTACTATAAGTATGTTGTTCTGTAAAGGTATTGAATGAGACTTTTTTTTATTTAATTGTGGATTTGTATATTTTTAGGCACTTGAGCACCAAAAGAAAGAGTTTGTAAAATACTCCAAAAGTTTCAGTGATACTCTGAAAACCTATTTTAAAGATGGAAAGTAAGTATGCTTTTGAATGCAGCTTCACAACAATAAATGTGTGTGTTCCCTTTTATGTGGTGGTAAATTACTTGGGCTCTCATGGCCGTGGCATTTGTCTATCTTCATTTCTCCGTGTGTCTGTAAAGGGAGAATAAACCCATGAATACTTAAACATCAAGACAAAGTAATCAGGTGTGTAATTTTGAATATTGTGATTCACTTTCTATAGTATATGTAGCTATGAGAACAGGACAATAGTAAGGTAAGTCAACTAAAAATCTGCACAGATGTTTAATGTTTATAACTGGTGGTTTGTGAATGGCAGTTTGAATATAGATGTCTACATTTTTTTATGTGCCTTCTAATTTTTCATCTTTAAAAAAATAAAAAAAAATAAAAGGGCATTTCATCAAGGTTCATGTCTTTTTGTGTTTTGGAATCCACTTGTGCCATGGTATTTCACTGTCACTTACTGTTATGGAAGATCTGATTTCATAGTCTAATACATGTCTTGGAGGAAGGCAGAATCTGTAGCCTACTGGTATTGCTTGTCTGTCTCCATGCAGGAGAGCCGGCTTTCATTTTCCATTCCATTGTGTCAAAGTCAACAAAGGCTGAGAGCATTGTGGAGACATTGCACCATTATATGAGGGATATTGTCCTCAAACCACAAGTGATCACCTCCCCTGCTCCCTTTGAAATCAATGGTAGAAATGCCAAAATGATGCAGGACCCTGATAGTTTACATTTAGAAAATTTCCTTCATACTGCAATGTCTCAAAGTACTTTTCAGATAATATAAGCACCAGTTAGATGTAGTCAGCAGACCAATAGGAGAAGAGGAGAAATTTTGGTCTACGACATAGCAGCAAATTTCTACAGTTGATTAGATCGTATAGAGATATCGAGATGTGTTTGGCCAATATTTATCTCATAATACACATTGACACAAGTGCATGGAATCTTTAATATTCATGCAGAGTCCACAATATGTTTTATGCCAGAGCTGAAAGATATCTGTGGTGAACTATATGGTGTTTCAACTACCTTAGGAGGAAGGGGAGAATCACTCTTGGTATTCCATTGTGGTTGCAGGGAATTTTTGTATTTGAACCAGATGCTAAGAGTGGCATTGACAGTATTCCCCCAAAACGTCTGTCACCAGCCTGAAGATGGTGACTGCAGTGCAGGGCCTTGAAGTTTGAGGGTTAAAAGTGTAGTTCTGAATAGAATCGTTCTTAAGTCTGTACTAGGAACGTGAAGAACACCAACAAACTGGATAAATAGCAATCTTCCTATAATAATCAGACATCAGTCAGGAGATATAAATAAGATGCAGCAATCTGCTAATGATTGTATTCAGCTTTGAAAGGGTCTTCTAGTATAGGAATACGCCATAATATGCATGGTAAAATACATTTGAAAGTAACAGGTTTACACAAGTGATAGAAGGGCAAAATTAGCGTGGGAAACTAGAAACCTGGAATGATGATGATTAACAAAAGCTATCAGACCAAACACAAACACACACTAATAATTTACACTTCTGTGGTGCCTTTCATCTGATAATCTTAAAGCATGGAAGAGCTAGTGCTAGGATTTGGAGAGTCTGAAAAATACTGCATCAGATCCCATCTGAGACTTGAATTACTGACTATGTTGGGATGGAAGAAGTGATATAACCTGCATAACTGGCCGTGGCCCAAAGCAAGACTTTTGAAAAGACACCAGAAAAAGTGCAACAATAAAGCAAACAAAATGACAGCAGTCTGACAAGTATGGATTAGGGAGGTGAAAAATCCCATCTGTGTTGACCTCATTCTTGGTCTTTTTTTAAGTTAAAGATAACTGAGCAATGCGGAAGCAACACAGTATAGTTGCCCTGTTGCATGGGGATGAGGGAGAAAATGGCAAATTAGTCAACATCCACTCCTGTTAACTTCAGCTGGACTTGTAAGTGCTCGCCACTTCTGAAAATAAGGCCTTTAATGACCACTGTTCCACTCTTCTCTAGCTAGCTTTGGGTTTTTAAACTAAATTTTCAGGAGCCAGGAGCCAAAAGTATTGAAGATCCTACCATCAGTTGCTAGTGTTCTTTGCACTGGTAAGGCATGCAAGACTGTGATACCTAGTCACCAGCTGTAAATTGAATGGAGGCTGCTATACTGCAAAACATCTGAATGTGCTTCACTGTGAGGTTTTGCTGAGCCAGGATGCATGTAGTTATCCAGATTTGGTACTAAAATTTATTGCATAAGCATTTTAAAGCAGTCTATATTTGTCTGAAACTGTTCTTGGTATTGAAATATGTTTTTCTCTTATAACAGGGCAATAAATGTGTTCGTAAGTGCCAACCGACTAATTCATCAAACCAACTTGATACTCCAAACCTTCAAAACTGTGGCCTGAAAACTGTATATGTTGAGAGTTGTACTTTTCAATGGTGGATAGGATACCTTTATATGTAAATTTTAAAGTTTTGACTGTATAAATTATCAGTCCCTCTTGAAGGGACCTAATGCAGGATTTCGAATGGGATTATTGCCATCTTACACCATATTTTTGTAAAACGTAGCTTAATCATAATCTCACGATGAAGATTTTGCATCACTCTTTGCTATTATCATTCTTTTCAGAATTATAAGCCAAAAGAATTTACGCCTTAATGTGTCATTATGTAACATTACTTATAAGAATTGTAAATATTTGGTGTTCTATTTCTGACATTTTAACTTGAAAGCGAAAAACTGCAAGACTATGTATTTAACAATATTGGTGGCAAATATTCAATAAATAGTTTACATCTGTTAGTTTGTCTGCTTGTATGTGAACAAAAAATGTGTAACCTGTTTCCCTATAATTAAAGAATATACACTAGATGTAAGAAGTAAAAGGAAAATTATGTGGGTGCTTTAGGTCAATGGCATTTTAAATCATACCATAAAAAAAAGGGAGCTTTCCTGTTTTCCATTTCAATCTCAGAGCAAACTTTTTTGAAATGTGTGATCAATCATTAAACTTTGAGTAAGATACTAAGCCACACTTCTATTATTAAATCAAAGACAAAACAAAGGACCCAAAAGTAGCAGTTTGTTTAAAAAAAATAAAAATAAATAAAGATGAAAGGCAAGGTGCTGCAGTGGGATTACGCTCATGTTGCTGACAAATTACACGGGTAATCTGTCAAATCTGGTTTAAATCTCAAATAAAGCTAAAATATGTGACAGGCATCCCAGTGAGCATTTCTTTACATCCCAACTGTGACATCTAATTAACATATATTTTAAAATTGCTGAGGCTGTTGGGAAACAGGACTAGGTACACTGCTAATATTGGTTCAGGAAGGAAGCTTGCACAACACCAATCCATATCACTTCATTTTCTTTATTACTATCTTAAGCATTTAAAGTATGAGCACTGAATTACAATACTTTATTTTTATATATATGTGTGTCTCCATACACACACACAGCTGACTTTGTTCAGCAAATGACATTCTGAAATGTATATACATTTTACATGACAATTAGCTTTATTTGTACCCTTTCCCATGAAGAAGAACTGTATTTAAAACTATCCTGTTTTAGGAAAGACGAGTTGTTTCTATCTTGCTGGCAGCCAATTTTTCAGTAATTGCAAGTCTGTTAATGATGGTGAGGGACACATTGTAGCTGATTTGCCTAGGGATTCAGGAGCCCTAGAATTGGTGTCCAAATGTTACATCAGTTAGGCTTTGTCATGAATTTTTCAGATGTTCCAATACACTGGACTGCTTGAGTCCAATGTGGTGATTCTTTGAAGGTCACAGTCAGCTTTGGCGCAGTACAAAACATGAAAACAATTTTCATGAAAGGAGTTACCTAAAATTCTCAAGCTCAAAGTGGCCTACATCCTCCCTGTGTTGACTAGTTTTTGCCATGCTGTTGATGTAAAGCATCCTTAAAACTGGTTGCTGGCTGGAGGAGGGTCATCCCAAGGAAGGTAGATACTCTTTGGCAAAAAGGCAGCGTGATGGCTGTGGGTTCACTACTTTCTGTTGATGGAAAAGAGGCATGAGTAGACCATCCCCTGCACATCATGATCCCTAGCTGCAGAATCCAGCATTTGGTGCAGGTATCTTACATTAGAGCAACCACCGGGTTGCCCTAACTTGCTCTGGAGGGGACTATTTTAGCACGGACTCAATCTAGGAGCCACATCATAAGTGGTTTTATAGGTACCTTTGCATCCTATCCAAAGGTGCTACATGGTTACAATGGAGTTATCAGGGCCTATATGTCTGAACTGGGATTGTAGAGTACATCTTCACATTTCCTTTTCCCAGCTTCTATGTAAATAAGAGTAACTGGTGAGCGGCTTACTTTTTGCAGTCTTCTAATATAGCAGTTCAGGCACTTCAGAAGAGGTCTTCCTCTAGCAATCCACTCTGAATGTGAGTTTTAACAAAGATGTTACAGAGTAAATGTGAAAACCAGTCCAGTAAACAATGTTAAACAAAATTTAGAAAATCTGGGATTGTAAAGGGGCAAAGAACTACGACTTCTTGTGAAAGTACTTGTTTTTATGTTTTTTCTTAGCATATGAATGAAGTAAAAATGTAGAAGGGCTTAAGTTCACTTACATTTAGCTAATAGTTGAGTGAATATTAAATCAAAGTTGAGTGTAAACAAGTGAGCAACTCATGTTAAAATGAGAATAAATGTGGTGGCAATGAAGCTCAACAGAGATGGTTATCCTCCAGATGAGATGTTACAGCAGCAGGCATAAACTCTCCAAAGAAATTGTTGGGGTCTGTAGCTCCCAAACAAACGTTGATTTACCAAAACAATAGAATATTATGGGGGTCTGCCTGGAATGAAATAAATAGTATTTTCTATTGATATGAAAGCCTGTTTTACCTGTCCCTTTCTCTTTCTTCTCCCCCGTCCATCTCTCCTCTCTCCCCCCCCCCCATTTCTCAGTTATCTTGACTGACATTGAATTGCATTCTGCTTTCCAGTGATCTTTCTCACAAACCTTTTGTTACCTATCAGTTCTGTGTTCTTGGGGAACCTGGACGCAGTACGGAACCTGTCTGACTTATGAAAGACCTCCCCGCCGCCCCGACCTCTGCTTGAACCAAAACCAATCAGAAGAAAGACTTACAAAAAGCATTGAAAAGGCAGTGGGAGACGCACCTAAACCCCTGGGACAAGGGTGACAGGATTAAGGAAACTCCCCTAGCCTCATTTGCATCAAAGATGAGCCAGGGAGGCATCTCCATTAGCATACAGAATGGAGAACAGAGATTCCAAGGCAAAAACCACATGGAATTCTGGGCCCAGAAAAGCAGGGAAGCACTGCATGATGGGGGTTCCAGATGTTAATGAACCCACACCTGCACACACACCTGAGTAGTTATCAGACCAATTGTAGTAATAAATTCTTTATTGGTATCCAAAATAGTGAAGCTCCCTAATTGCATTGTGAGCTCCCTCCAAGGAACATCGCCAGGAATGATCAGTTCATATTGTCTAACCTGAACAAAACAACTGGTATACTCCCTTGAGCCATCAGTTTACCCATAAACAAATCTAGTGTTCTCCCTTGAACCATAGTTCTTTCCCTATAACAACCCCTACCCATGCTCAAGTAAGTGTTCTGATGCCTGGATCCAAAATCTGCATCCGTTCCAGTGGGACTTCATCTTCCGACTGGTCATGCTGGGGGCTCTGCCTGACTCTAGCACTCCGGACCCTCAGCTGCCACCACCACCTGGGACCCCCAAACGATTCAAGCCTCACAAAGGTGAGAACCCAGCACGCTCATGCACGTGCTCTCTCTCTCTCGGTATAGCCTTCGGATCCTGACTTGTGTGATCAGTGATAGTTTTCTAAACCTGACTTTTATAATCCAATGTAAGATGGATTTAATATTATAACTTTTTTGTTTGTTTGGCTCCCTTATGGTTATTACCTGGCAATAAACTTCCATGGTTAAGCTGGTTGCTTCTCTCTCTCTCTCTCCCCCTTTTCCTCCCATGGGTGTGTTTTAGTTTCTTCAATCGCTCTGCAGCAACACTCCTTGTACCTAAGGTAAAAATCCCTGCAGCGTCCAAAAATCCTGTGGCGTTCGCTCATCAAGTGGGTTAGTACCAGAATAATTGTAACGTAAAAGTGGGGACAGAGATGTGGTGAACCTGGAACATCTGAGGATGGCAGCTTGGAGGTGCTGTTCGACCCAGCCTGCTCAGGTGTGCTCTATTCTGGTGCGGTGCCCATGGCATATGAGGGGGACAGCTTGGAAATGCTGCTTGACCCAGCCTACTGAGTCCAGGGACATATAAGGGGTCAGCTTGGGGGTGCTGATTAACCCAGTCCTCTCAGACGCGCTCTGTTAATGTGTGTGTTTGTCTGATTCTGGGGCTGGAAGAACCCAGCCCTGGGGAACCTAGGTCCTGCAGGTTAGCTCCATTGGGAGAGAACTTGCAGCAGGGAAAAGTAGAGTTCTGTATGAGAACACAGGTGACACAAGCAGTACATTGATAGAATTACAGAACCCCCCCTCTCCCCACCCCAGAAGAGTAACCCTAATAAATGATCATACCCCAAAGTAACGGGCAAATCTGGTAAGGCTTTCCCTACATATCAGGGGGAAATATTCCTTTAGTATTTAATTATGTGGAAGAAATTGTCTGTTATTCATTTTACAGGGATGATCGCACATGTATGTTCCGCATAGAACCACTGTCAAAATAAGGCTTTGATTTATGAGGCCATTGCTTTCCATTTTAGCTTCATGAACCTTTGACTCTTTCTTTAATCAGCTAGACAGAAACAGATCACAAATCTAAGCCTTAGAAAAAGGATATAAATGACCAAATTTTAAAGGGACAAGGTGGGTAGGTAATATTTATTAAACCACCTTCTGGTGGTGAAAGAGAGACATTTTCGAGCGACATAGACTTCTTCAGATCTGGGAAAGGTACTTTGTGTCAGCTGAATACAAGGTGGCATAAATTGTTTAGCATAAATAATTAACATGTATTTTAAGGTGAGGTGGCTTGTTAACAACACTGGAGTCATAGGACAAAAAAGGGGAGTTATTGGGTGCAGATTGTTGTAATGAGCCATAAATCTAGTGTCTTTATAAAAAGACCATAATTTTTAGTATCTGGCAAAATACTGAATTTAAGCTCCTGGGCTTGTCTTCCAAAGATGTTTTGTAGGTTTCCTTTGAGAACGAAGATTGAGAAGTCAGCTACAGAGTGATAGTTTTGTGAAAAGTGTTTGCCCATGCGCGACATGTTTTTGCCTTTTATCATTTTTCTGTGCAAGTTCATTTGAGAGCATAGTGGTGGTCAGGTTTCACCAACATTGTTGTTATTGGGCATGTGGTGCACTGGATAAGGTACACCGCTTGTGATAGGCATGTGTAGGATCTTGAAAGGTGTGTTATGGGAGGTGGAACTGATCATGTAGCCGTGAAGACATGTCTGCAGGTTTTGCATCTGTTCTGGCAGGGTCTGGTGCCAGTTTGAGTTTGTGAGTACTAATCAGTGGGGAGGATGCTTCTGATGATGAGGTTGAGTGTCGGAGGGAGGGGGGGGAGTATTGAAGTACAGAAAAGGGGTGTTGGGAAAGATTTATTTCAGAATATATGGTTCCTATTAACTGTTTAATGATATCCCATGTGGGTCCCCATGTGTGAGGGTAGGTAACAACTAGGAGTGTGTGGCTGGAGGGAGGTTGTCTCTTTCACCAACAGAAGTTGGTCCAATAAAAAAGATATTACCTCCCCCACCTTGTCTCTCTAATCTCTCTTGGGACCAATATAGGTACTGCAAACAAATTTTGAGGGGAATTTTAAGGGAGGTGGAATTACAGTGTCCATGATAGATTAGGTTTAGATTTAATCTTTGTGGATGCAAACTGATGATGTTTGCTGCAATAACCTTTTCTCCCCAACCCAGCTGTGATGGAGTGGGGGCCAGCCTGACATCATCCTTCCCTTACCCTGTGACGGGATTCCAAACTGGCTTCTGCCAGTGAAACTCAAGGAGTTATCAAGCCCTGCATGTTTGTATCTATAGGTTCTGCCATGCTTTTATTTCGGTATATCGTTTTCCCTCTCATTCCCTTTTCCTTAGCAGAAGCTGCTTTCAAATTGGCCATTAGAGGAGGTGTAGGAGGAGCAGACCACGCTTCCACGTCCAACCACAGCAGCGTGTGATGCCTCTGAGCACCTCCCACTGATGGTGAGTTTTCAGGACCTTACTTTTTTAACATCCCACGTTTTTACTAGGACAGAGCAGAGAGAATATAGTGGAATCCTCTGCCTAACTGTAGGGGCAAAACTGAAAAGGTAAAACAATAGGTGTTGCAAATAAATCCAGCTACATTCTCACAAAATAGAAGAGAAGGTAAGATAGGGTTTACATGATTGCTGGAAGGAAAAGAAAAGTAATAGCTATATTTCCATACACTCAACTAGGGACTTAAAGAAATCCCCATGCCTGGGAGGTGCACTGAAATCAGGCAAAAGTGACTGTAATCTGGCTACCGTGCTCTCTACAGGAAAGAAAGAGGGCACTATGGAGGATTTAAAGGGACACGTCTAGGATAAATTTGACCCTAACTTCAGTTAGGTGAGCGTAATCTTCTCCAAAACTAATGGAAATAGTTCCATTGTTTTGTTTAGTTCCAACAAAGACAATTTTTAATAAACCCAAATGCTCTATCACTAGACCAGATTCTCAGGTAGCATAAATCAGCTACATCTAGTTCTGCAGGTTTAGACCAGCTGAATATCTGCTTCTAATGCATGTAAACTTTAGTGGAAGTGATAAGTGTAGTACAAACTAATTTAATATCATAAAATGAAGTGATATTCTAAATATTAATATATCCTTATTTTCCATGTCCAAGATAAGAGAAATGCACAAAACAGAGTATCAGCAAAGCAAAAGAAACGAGATGTTTAAATTTCTTTCTGTTTTAAATGACTAGTTATGGGATTTAGAACCTAGGAAAGGAAATGTCCTTTTAATTATTCATAATTGGTACTTCAAAGGAATATAGTTCCACTCTTCCATCAACCATGTTTGTGCTTTCTTCAACCCTGCCACTTACGGCTGGAACACCCTCCATGAACTAATCAGTAAGAGCCCTACCACTTTCTCCTTCACATCCCTTCTGAAGATCTGTTTTCTGCCTGATGCCTGCAAGAAAACACACAATTAGACTAACACCCACTTGGCAAAAGTCAGTGTAATTACAAACAAACAAACCCATAGCAAGTGTATACACACATATATATATAATGGTGTATATTTGATTTGCTCCTTCTTCCCAACCCTGCATATGTTGCTTGTCTGCTCCATCACCAATCCTGCAAAACATATGCATGCAAGAAACTTTTCTTACCATTCATGGAAAACTGAGGCCTCATATAGTAGACCACCGGCAGTAAGTCTCAGAGCTGAGGTCAACTGACTCAGGTGTGCAGAGCTCACATGATGGGGCTAAAAATATCAGTGTAAACATTTGGGCTCAGGCTGGAACCTGGGCTCTGAAGCCCAATCAGGCCCTAGGCTCCAGTCCAAGCCCAAATTATCTACACTGTTATTTTTATTCCCATAGTGTGAGCCATGGAAGTCAGTTGACCTGGGGTCTGAGAATTGCTGCCTCTTTTTTGGGGGGAGGTGGGTTGCAGCCTAGACATGCCCATAGATTGCACACTCTTTAGGGCAGGGGAACCTGGTCTACCTTTGTGCTTATACAACACCTTGCACATGGGGATCCAATCCTGATATGGGTCTCTGAGCACTACTGTAATATAATTATGATCTAAACCCAAACACAGGATAAAAGGTCAAATCTTGCCCACCCTTTTTGCCAAATTGCATCATTTATTACCTCGTGAAACTTCATTGAAATCAATAAGATTGTGCCTGGCAGTGGGCACAATGAGGATTGGCAAAGTCGGACTCCAAATTTGCAGTTGACTGTGATGTAAAAGCTGGTTCACTTAAAACAAATCTTATTTTGTAATATGCAAAAAAGGTCACTTTTACAGGAGGCTATATTTGATTAAATGATGCCATTGCCATTCCTTTATAGCTATACTGTACTTCTAGTCGTGCTTGCAAATAGCCCTCTTATGCAAACACCTCCATTTTGACCAATAACCAGAGGAGAGAAGGGAGGGAAGCTTAGCTAGCTTTGTATACGTTGCCAGGAAACCTTTGTAAGCACCAAGAACAAGAAAAGCAAAGGACTCTGTACGTTCCTTTAGTTTAAACTCTTTACAACTATTTTTACTCTTGAATAGAGCTTACCAAAGTGTTCTGCAAAAATAATGGAGTTATAATCACATACAATCACAACATTCAATATCACATTATTAATGACAAGGTAAGTAAAATGGATTTTAAATAGCTGACTTTCTAATGCATATTTAGATATAAATAGAAATGTTTGTACACTTGCTTTCTGTATTAGTTAGTTACAATCCAAGGAAGCCAGGTACATCATACCTTTAATAAATAGAATGTTGGAGAGTATCTTTAATGGTCTGGTATGTTATGAAATAAAATTCAAAGTCAAGAGTTCAAAATGTTTTTATTGTTTTATTTAAATTGATCTTTTCCCTCTTTATATACGTTGTCTCAGAATTTGAGCTATTGGATTTCCACACAAAAAAACCCTAAAAAAATAATATTTTTCTTAAAGGACAAGAACTGAGTCAAATATGACCCTATGTGCCAGAAGATGTTAAAGTGAATCAAGCATGAGCTACCCACATCTTTCACTTAACGACTCCCAGCCCAGTGCTGGGTGTCTGACCTCAGACAGAACAGAAGACACTGCAGCAATGAAAAATGTTGCGGAACAACTTGAAAACAGACTAAGTATTTATGATTTAATGAAAATGCAAGAGATTTTTATGGTAAGTGAATTTTCTAATTAAAATATTAATTGAAAGGATTTTGAGTTGCTTATCAAGGAAATATAGAAAGCATTATCAACAATGTTTATATTGTCATATGGTATCAAGAAAAGTGGGTCTGTGTCTACATAAGGAAATATAGGATGTAGAAACAGACAAAATTCTCTTAGTTGGGTGTGAATCCAAGATTAGGACAAGAAGCGATGGGCTTAAATTGCAGCAAGGGAGGGTTAAGTTGGACATTAGGAAAAGCTTCCTAACTGTCAGGGTGGTTAAACACTAGATAAAATTGCCTAGGGAGGTTGTGGAATCTCCATCATTGGAGATTTTTAAGACCAGGTTAGACAAACACCTGTCAGGAATGGTCTAGATCAGTGGTTCTCAAACTAAGGCCTCCGCTTGTTCAGGGAACGCCCCTGGCGGGCCGGGCCGCTTTGTTTACCTGCTACGTCCACAGGTTCGGCCGATCGCAGCTCCCACTGGCCACGGTTCGCCGCTCCAGGCCAATGGGGGCTGCGGGAAGGGCGGCCAGCACGTCCCTTGGCCCGCGCTGCTTTCTGCAGCCCCCATTGGCCTGGAGCAGTGAATCGTGGCCAGTCGGAGCTGTGAACCGCTGCCAGTGGGAGCCGCGATCGGCCGAATCTGCGGGCGCAGCAGGTAAACAAACCGGCCCAGCCCGCCAGGGGCTTTCCCTACACAAGCGGTGGCCCTAGTTTGACAACCGCTGGTCTAAATAATACTTAGTCCTGCCATGAGTGCAGGGGATGGACTAGATGACCTCTCAAGGTCCCTTCCAGTCCTATGATTCTATGATTAGAAATACTAGTCAAGTGGGGAAAAAAAAAACAGTAATCAAGAATAAACTCACTGCCTAAAAGTGAGGTGACCAAAGAAAGGTTTATCTTTTTTCTTTCCCAGGAGCAGCTTTAAATAAAACTCCCGTACATATTCAACATGACACAATACAACCCTAGCTTTAGGCAAACAAGGGGCCATTGACCTAGCACTACTCTTCAGGAAGCCATGCTACTTATCTGTGCAGCCATGACTCAGGCAAATACTGCCCACAATTAGAGATGAGCCAAAATCGGAAACTTAGATGATTTTGAACTTCTTCCAGTTTCAGGCAGATTCTGTGGCTCAGACTTAAATTCCTGGATTAGAACCCACCCCGTCTGTTTTGGTGCTGTGTTGGATCTAGGGGAGAAAGGGGCCTGTTGTCTGGTTGAGATGCAGCCAAAATACCACGAGTAAATGGTGGAAATCATATGAAAATACCTGATCTCATGAGATTTCTGCCCATTTGGAGCTGAAATGTCACAAAAACATCTTGTGATTTTGGGAGTCACTTCATTGGAGTCTTGATTTGCTCCTAAATCTGAGACCTGTAGGCCAGGGGTAAATTCTGATGTCAGTTACACCAGTGTAAAATTGGAGTATCTCAACTGACTACAGTGGTCTCAGGATTTACAGTTTCTCCAGATTATGCCTGTGTAAATTAAATCAGAATCTGACCCACTTCCTATCTCTAATCATGACATCTGTTGTTGGAGTGCAGTGGGCAAAACATTTCCATGAAAAATAATGACATTTGCAGTGGCCCAGTTGCTTTGAGACAGCAAGACAACACTCTTCACTGCTATACAAGGTTCTTGGGCTTGAGGCCCCTGTCTATGTCACACAGCAATAACCCTTTCCCCGAGCTGATTAAGAAGGGGCTCTGACATGCGCTTAAGGGTGTCCCAGTAAATGGTCTGATGCAAAATTATGACAAGGACACGGGGATTTAGGAGGTTGAGTGAAGAGGGACCAAAAAGGGATTTTTTTAGGGGAAAAGAAGAGTTGTTCAGAGTTCCAACTTAGATTCAGTGTTTTCCTGTCTTCAGACAGAATAGCTTTTCTTGATGGTAAATATGTTCTCTTGGGTGGGCAGACCTATTAGCAGTTGCCATCAATAATCTCCACAGGAACTGCATTCATAAAGCAGAGTCTTAGGGCTTGCTAACATGGTGCGGGAAAGTGCTCTTCAGGGGTGTGATTTGTAGAGCTCTCTAACTGCCTCATGTAGACCCTGCTGGCATGCTCTTTTCAGTACCTCTTAATGTGCGCCAGCAGGGTCTACATGGACCAGTTAGAGCACTCTACAAATCACACTCCTGTAGAGTGCTTCACTGCATCATGTAGACAAGTTCTTACGTAAAATGTGGGCTGCATCCATGAAGCATTGTAGCGGGACAGTCACCCCGCTCCGGCTCTGAAAGGGTTAAAAGCCAGCTCTGGGAGAGCTGGGGCTGAGAGGCAGCTAATCAGGGCTTGCCAAGCCAGTATAAAAGAGGGCAGACCAGAAGGGGTAATTGGGGTCTCTCTAGCTTTGGAGAGAGATGGACCTAGCTGCCTGAAGGAGCAAAGAGTACCTTGGACAGACCAGTGCTGGGGAAGGGGCAGGCTAAGGTGGGGAGCTCAGGCCTGGTGACCTCCCAGGCTGAGGCCTGACAAGAAGGCCTAAGGAGGTACTAGGGTTGCAAGGAGAGGCCGCAGGTCCAAACTCCCTTGCTGATGATGAGTGGCCAATTCAGATTGCAGTTTGCCCCTGAGGAAAGGGGCTAGATGAGGACTAGCAATGGGTCACTGAGGCGAGGTGGGCTTAGGGGATTGGGGTTCCCAAGGGAGGGGAGACCCAGCGTCTCCCAGTGGGGAAACACCCCAAGGTAAGGGGTGCCAGGGACTGGGAAGGACGCGGGGCCTGAAGTGCTTATAAGTGGTGAAGATCAGGAGGAAGCAGGCACTGGTAGGAAGACACAGGCCAGCAGGAGACGCTCCGAGGCTGGAACTGAGCTAATTCCCAAACGACCAGCAGGAGGTGCCGTGGCGGTGAGTGCTCGACCTGTTACAAGCAGACACAGAATTAGGAATGGGTGGGCTTGTGCCTTAAAGCACTGGATTGGGATTTGGAGAATCTGGGGTTTATTCTTGGTTCTGAGAGGTTTAATTCATTAAGGTATTCAGATACGATAATTATGAGGGGTGGAGTGGGGGATAACGTGCTCAGATAGATAAAGTGACAAAGTAGCCCAAAGAAGAGAGCCCTATGACACTGCAAAAGGAAAAATACCCATTTTTTTTTGTTTTTGTTTTTGTTTTTTTTGGTACAGTATAATTCTCCTTTCACTTGCAGTGGTGTATATCTGGAGTAACTCTGGTGAAGTTGGCAGAGAGATACCAGTGGTTTAAATGAGAGGAGATTCAGGCCTGATAGCTCTGTAAGAATAGCCAAAATGTTCTAAACCTACTTGAATAGGCCTGTGTGAAATCTAAGCACTGAAGAAAAAAAAATCTGAACTGAGTTTTACTTACTGTTTATATACTGCTGTGAGTAATGGATGTTTTCAGGTAAACTACTCCTGTGTCCAATTCATTTGCACAGAAATGTTTCCTGTCACTCAATATCTAACTAAGAACTCCACAGGTGATCTGAGTTAGACTTTTCAGAGAGGAAATATGTTTTGCCCACTTCATGAGATTGTAGTTTTTGGCACAGCAGAACTTTATTTTATGAAATAGAAGCAATAATACCACCTGAAGATGAAACTGAGGATCAGCCTGTTGACCCCTCTTCTGTGTGGAGGTGCTTCTCATGAACATGGAAGCAACACTGCTGTAATTTCCTGCCAAGATACAGTATGATAAAAACGGAAGCAGCAGGCATTAGCAGAGAAACACCCAGGGAAGGTACAGCTGAGGCAGAGGAAGCTATTGTAATCACGTACTTCATTAGACCCAAATTAAACCACCTGCCTGGCACAATGGAATAATTAGATCTCAAAAGCGCTATCTGACCAATCATCGCTTATTGAGATGTCCAGTATTACGGGTGACCTCACACTAGGGCTTCATTTGAAAGGACGTTGAGCCCAGCAGGACATGCTCAGTGATCGCACTACATGCTTTACAGGGATTAAAAGAACTTGTCTGCTATTGCTCTTCATTTGCCAATTACCAATATCGACACACACAAGAAGATACCACTTTAAATAAACTGTGCATAGCTACCATTTTCCCCCAAAGCAGAATATACGTTGCACATACAAAATGCAAGACAAAGACAGAGAAGGATCAAGTACAAACATCTTGACAGCTCAGAGAGCTTTTATTTAGTGATTGCAACACAAAATCATTGGTTTTAGCTTCACATGAGATAAAGTTGCCTCTGAGTGTAGTTTTTGCTTTTAAGGCAAAAAAGCATTTGTGGCCTTTGGGTCTTAATGTTCAGGGCAGATGGACTGGATTGCATGTGGATCCCCTTCCTGTCTGTAGCTGTGCTGTGCTAGGCAATAGCTTTACCTCAGGGGTATAATTTTTAGTGCAGGCTTCTTATTTATTTCCAGTTGCTCTGCTTTTGTGGCCTTCAAGACTGCTTAAAATGGATGGCGTTCATTTTGTGCAACATACACCTGCAAACTACCATTTATTTTCATAGCTGCAGTCACTGGGTTTCTTGTGTGTGTTCAGCCTAAGAACGGCAATTTCTATTTCTCTCCAGACTATCAGTCACTGTCCTTTGAGCCTAATTTTGGGAACAAATGGAATGGTGCATCACCTAACATGCTTAAGATACATGGACTTTACTATGGGTATGGTCCAGCTGCAACCAACCATCATTTCTGTTGACCTCCAAGCTATCTGTCACTTTAAATCACATTTCTGGAACACAATTTGTAGAGGGTTGCAATTTGCTGAGTTGCCTTTAGTAAGTCTAATTGTGTAATTTTATATCTCTCTAAAAACATGCTTTAGAACTTTCTGAGAGTCTTGTGAGTGATATGGAAGCAAATTTCAACCAAATTAAATTTTGTTTGATAAATTATACTCTCAAATTCATTCACTCAATTATTAGTACTTCTGGCCACTCATATTCATCAAAATAATTTGTAGGAAACAATTACATAAAAATAAATATGAACAGATTAACCTTTACATTTATATTCTCCTCCCATCTGAAT